CTTTCTTTCTTTCTTTCTTTCTTTCTTTCTTTCTTTCTTTCTTTCTTCTTTTTCTTTCTCTTTCTTTCTCTTTCTCTCCCTCCCTCCCTTCCTTCCTTCTTCCCTCCCTCCCTCCCGCTTAAATTTCTAGGCCACCCATGTCACCACCGGTAGATTCTGAGAAACTTACAAGAAGACAAAAAGGACAATATAAAACCTTAAAACATACTAACACTAGAATTAACAAAGAAGGTTAAAGAAGGCAGTGACAGACAACCGAGTGGGGGTGGAATCTCCTCTTGATCTGCTAACCAAGGCCAGTATGGACTGCCCTCCATCAGGACTCCAGGCCAACTGGCGGAGCCAGGGCTCTTCAAAGCCTCTAGGGGGGTTGGGCTCAACCTCACCTTGGGGGCACCATGTTCCAGAAGGCAGGAGACAACAGCAGACAAGACCCTCCTCCTTGACCCCGACAGCTGGAATAATCAGGCTGACCAGACACGCAGCATGCACGCCCCCCCCTCTGCCTGTATGGGCCAATCCCAGTGGGGTGAGATGGTCCCCCAAGTAACAGTAACACCCCTGGCATGAAAAGCCTTCAAGGGGATCACCAACACCTTGAATTGCACCGAGAAACAGACTGGTAACCAATGCACCTTACAGAGCAGTGGTGTCCCAGGGGCCATGTTTGCCTCCCCCACCACCACCAAACTGCACCAGAGTGCTTCCGAAGGCTCTCCAAGGGTAGCCCCATGCAGAACGCATTACAGCAGACTTCAACTCCCAGAGTTCTCCAGACTTACAGGCAGCTGGTTATTTGCATCCTTTTTAGAGAGTCCTTGAGGCCGCCTGGAGGATTTACCTGTGTTCCCCAGGTCACCAGAGTAGTACAAATGGGTATGACTACAATGCGGTCCTTTCAGCCGTTCCAAGAAGGCTCCACACCCATTTGCACCACTCAAGGGACCCTGAGGACACAGACAAGCCTCCAAGTGGCCTCAACGACCCTCTAAAAGGATGCAAATGACCAGCTGTATCGGCAAGGAGAATCAATCCTTCCATTCCCCACCATCCAGTCGGAGCTGAAGAAGATTCTGGGACGAGAAGCGAAACGTCTTCAAAGAGAAACCAGAAAGTCCAGTTGCCTCTTGAAAAAACAACAACACATCAGATCGCAGTTTGGGCTTTACTCTTCATGGCTATACACCTGTGCAAAGGGTTTAGGGCAGGGGTGTCTCCAACCTTGGCAACTTTCAAGAATCCTGGGAGTTGAAGTCCACCAGTCTTAAAGGTGTGCCAAGTTTGGGGACCCCTGTTCTAGGACCTGGCCTGAAATCTGGGACCTCATCTGGACCAAGCCCATGCCTTGCTGTTGAGGCCGTTCCTCAAGGCTGTTTCTTCACTGAGCCTGGGGAATTCTGGGAGTTGAAGTCCAACCCAACAAGAAGCAATGGGTGGAAACTAATCAAGGAGAGAAGCAACTCAGAACTAAGGAGAAACTTCTAGGCATGAATCAATGGAACAGCTTGACTGCAGAAGTTGTCAATTCTCCAACGCTGGAAGAGATTGACAACCCATAGGGCTTCCTGCCTAAGCAGGGAGTTGGACTAGAAGACCTCCAAGGCCCCTTCCAACTCTTGTTATTCTATTCTAGTCCAACTTCAAAGGGCCAAAGTTGAGAAACGCCGTGTCAGCGTTCCAGGAAAACAAACTCCAACACCAAAACTCCGAGACGGGCATTTTCTCAAAGTTCCACTTTTATTCAGACTTATCACACTGGCACATCTGGGAAAACCCCGAATCTTGAGAGTGACGGATTTTCCTCCCATAATTAGAAAGCACAAAATCCCCTGCACCCATCGCTCCTCACGTGGCCCCCTCCGTTCCAACTGGAGACCTCCTCCCTGAAACCCACTCCTCGCCCAGGTGCAGGGATCACACGACCTTGACGGTAAAGAAGAATGCTATTATGTCTAGCTACAACCCCTCTACAACCCCCCCCCCCACCCTCCCAATTTCCCAGGCCCAGGAATGTGGCAGCGTGGAAGCTTCCAGGGCTAATATGGCTTCCAAAGTGGACACGCTGCTCCGGGGTGTGGATGGGTGTATGTGACTGAAGGCAACTCCCTGAAATCCATGCATGTAGGGAGAAGAAAGCCAGCCACAAGCTCTCCACCCATTTTGCAGAGATCGTGCTGTTTGGCGGAGGGGGAGCAGCCCTTATGAAGGAGGAGGAGGAAGAGGAGGAAGAAGAGGAACTCACCTCCACCAGCTTGAGGTCCGAGGTGAGGAAGGAATGTTCTACCAGCTGCTGGACATTGGGCACCACCAAATTCTCCTGCTTGTCCATAAATATCTGGTAACAGTAACACTCCTGTTCTTTCAACCTCCCGGACCTGAAATCAGACGCGCTCCGATGAGCCACCGACTCTGGCCCAACTCCGGAAAAGGAACCAAAGGAAATTCGGACGTTTCAACTACGCGGTGATGAGCTGCGGATAAGCTTCTTTTTCCGCCCAGAAGACTGGTGGGAGGGCAACCTGGGGAAGACATTGTCTTCCTCCTGAGCAAGCGTGGGATTTATCGATGCCACCTCTTTCCAAAATGGCCTGTGGGGACCTCCGGGGTTCAGCTTATTTAGCTGCTCCTTGAGGTTTCAAGGTATCACCAGTTAAGTCACACTGGGAAATCAGGAGGTCAATTCACAATGTCTGCGGAGATTCTCAGCCATCCAAGTCATGGCTGTCCCAAAAGTATTTTTAAGAGGCAACTGAGCTTCCTGGTTTTCTCTCTGAAGACGTTTCGCTTCTCATCCCAGAAGCTTGTTCGGCTCTGACTGGATGGTGGGGAACGGAAGGATTGATACTCCTTGCAGACACGGCTGGTCACTGGCATCCTTTTAGTGAGTTGTTGAGGCCACCTGGATGCAGATGGTCACATGACAGAGATAAACCTCCAGGTGGCCTCAAACGGCCCTCTAAAAGGATGCAAACGACCAGCTCTGTCTGCAAGGAGTCTCCATCCTTCCCTTCCCCCCC